AAGGAAACCGAAATCTTTAATGCGCGTAACAATTTTATAATCAGAGTGATGCGGGTCATATCCAATGGAGGTCGAAATACCATAACTGGTGCTTGGAATCGATAATTTATGGCAAGTTGTTCCAGTTTCAATGTTAACAAACTTAATTTTAGCTTTATTTGCCAGTGAGATGGCGACTTGGTTTTGAGAATCATACGCCACATCCACAGGACTACCAATTACTGCTATTTCCTTTTTTAAATAACCATGGGGATCACATATAAGAAGCCTGTCATTGTTTTTATCTGCTATAGCTATATCACCGGACGGAAGCAGGGTACAACCAGTTAGACGTTGTGCATTCTTCCCTCCAGTAATATGGATTTGCCAATGTGTTTTTATTGAATATTGGTGCATGATATAGCCGGGAGATCGAATAGCCTGGGCTTCTTTCTTTTTCAAAACTTCAAGTGACAAAACTATCGGTTTTTCTTCTATTGAAAGTTTTCCTAGAAGAGTTAAGTCACTTGTAATATAAAATATAGCAGGACTAATATCGAACTTACATTCTGAATGTTTTAGTGTATCAGTTTGCAGCAAATGTTCAATGAAACATTTGTCTTCTTTTATAAACGATTCAATGTCCCGTAAACCAAGAAAGACCTGTAGTTCCGAAGCATGGTTCTTCATGTTAATCAAATCATTTGAGGTCTGTTTGACTCTTACTGCTGCTTTCTCGAGATCTTCCATCAGTTTTTCTTTAACTGCTATACATTGGTTATACTTGCAGGTCAGTTCATCTAGAATTTGTTTTTCAATTTTCTTGATATGGTCATCGATTGTTTGTCGTAGTTCTTTTATTTCTTTCCGACATTTATGCATAGTCGCCGTGAAAGCTTCCATACTGTCATCACACTCGGCAATTAGTAAATTGAAATTTTTTCTCAATTCGTCAACAGTACTTTCAATATCATTCATAAACGCGGATGTTTTGACATTATGAACCACGGCAGAAAGGGGAAATAACTGGTCACAATCTTTATGTTTATCATGTAAACACTGCACACAACAGAGATCATCATGAGATGGACAGAAAAATTCGTATTTGCCACCATGCACATTACATTTGTCGCTAGCAGTCAAGATAAAAGACGGTAAATTTCTGTAATCGTCCACCGATTGTGTTGTATGATTCTTAGACGACTTTGAGATACTGTGGTGTTCTTTGCATTCGGGACACAGCAATTCATCGCACTCGGAACACCAAATGATGGCGCTTTTTCTAATACCACGTGATTCACATATATCACATGACGTTTGTGATGTAGCCATTGCTAATGTATGCAGGAAAATATCTGTAACATCATAATAAATGCATTTACTCAAACATTGTTAATAAAATTGAGAATGGAAATGGGGAATGTGTCAAAGAGACAACAACCCGACCATAGAACAGACAACAGCAGAAGGTCACCAACAAGTTAGTTTGAAACTGTTTTTCTTATTAGTTTCAGTCCATGTAAGAATCACACAAAGGATAATATACTAATAGTTGTAAAATTAAATTAAATGTGGTTGCTATGTTCCAATTAAATCCAAACATCACAAAACTTTTGGATGTTATGGTAACGCTTTCATCATAACAACTCATTGAAAATATCGATATTCAAATACCGTAATTTGCTTTCTTCGATTTAATTTTTTAACATTCTTATTACATTCGAAATGACTTTTAAAATATTATTACATATAGTTAGTATTAAGAATGTAATCTAACAAAAAAAAAAGAAAATAAAGGATACACAAATAAATTAAATGGAAACCATTTAACCATATTTTTTATCTTCAAAGAGATTAAAAATATGTATTTCGTTAAGAGCTTTCAATTGGTTAATGTACATAAGTTCAAAAGAGAGGAAAAGGATAACAAAGGGACATTCAAACTCATAAGTCGAATACAAACTGACAACGCCATGGCTAAAAAGAAAAAGACCAACAGACAAACAAAAGTACACAAAACACAACATAGAAAACTAAAGACTGAGCAACACGAAACCCACCAAAAACTGGGGGATGATATCAGGTGCTCCGGAAGGGTGTGGAGATCCTGCTCCACATGTGGCATCCGTCGTGTTGCTCATATGAGTACAAACCCGGTAATAAGTCTAATTCGGTAGGTCACATTCAGGAAATAGGGGCAGGATTGTAGTTACGACATTAGGAACATATCCGCTATCATCTGTGAAACGGATATTCCATAACGGTCAACCAACTCGTGATGGCATCCGTAAAATTTACGAAGGGATGATTTTGACTTCACAACTTAGAACACTTGGTTTGATAGCTTCATTGTGAGCAGCAACCCTCTATCAAGGAAATCATTATAGGACATACAAGCCCTGGAATATCGTGTCAACTGGTAGATATATACTCAGTATGCAGGCGCTGCTGGAATGTTGCTACATAGATATGGAAAGTTCACAATTGGGAAGCTAAAATCATCTCTTTTGTAAAGCTTTGTTTTGAACCGGCTTTCATTGTCAATTTCTAGATGTAAGTCAAGATATGAGGCAGACTTAACTGTATCTGTTGTATCTTTTATCTCAAGTTCGATGGGATAGATGCGTTCAACTTAGTCACCAAATTTTGAATTATTTAGTGAGAGAACATCATATTTATAGCGGAAAGTAAAGTTAAAGGATACAGCTAACTTCTTTTCTTTCTTCCTAAGAAGTTTCTGTATGAAATCGGCCTCAGATGAATAAAGGAACAAGTCGGCAAGAAGAGGGACACATTTGGTTCCCATGGGAATGCCGATTGTTTGTTGAAAAACACGTCCTCCAAACGTAAAAAATATGTTGTCAATCAAGAAATCAAGCATCTTGATAATGTCAGTTTCAAAGAATTTTTGTTTGAATCAAAGTGAAACTCACAAAGGATGTATCCCCCCCCGAAGACAAAATACTTTTATCTACGTTGGCCATTCTTTTTCATGAAACAAAGCAGGACCAACTCTTTCAATTTGTCTTTTATTTTGGAATGGGGAATACTTGTGTAAAGTGTAGAAAAGTCAAATGTTTTAATACTATTGCAAGACGAAAGAGTCTTAGATTGTATGTACTCTAAAAGATCTTTGAATTTTTTTAGTATCCACATCTGATTTACGCCACCTCTAGAATAGGTGGTTTCACAATAACTTTGAAGCCCGACTTTGATTGCTGATAAAATTGATCTTTATAAGTTAGAAAGAGGTTTCGTGGAGCACTTGGAAGACCCAGCAATATACTGTTTGTAAGGATACTTAATATGTAGTTTAGGTATCCAAAACAGTGATGGAAGATCCAGTTCTTCATCTTTGGTTGAAATTCCAAAGGAACAAAAGAATCTTGTCTTAAAATAACATGCATGGAAAATAATAGTTCCATTGAAGCCTACTTGAGATTTTTTGGTAAACATCTTTTTTGGCAAATATTTGTTTTTTAACAATTTTGATCAAACAGTTGATGTATATTTTTAACCATTTTTAATCCATGTCGTAGTTTTGTCTTTAACATATTATTCATTATTTGCAAAATTAATTCATGATTCTAAATTATAAGAATGGTTGCCATGGAAACAAACTTCTATGTACCAAAATAACTAAATACAGTTTTTTTTTATAAATTTCATGCCTTATGGTGTAATACCACCAAATCATAGTACGTCACGTCATACGAAAAAGGGTCGCCGCACAAACGGTAAAATGCAATACAAAAACCAAGTGCAAACAAAACAATAATAAACAATAATACCATTTCACAGAATGCTCATTGATATTTTCATTGTCATACTATGAATATTTGAACGTTTGGGTGAAAGTATCTATCATTTTAGATCATTTCTGAATTTTTTAATATTTCATGCCATTTTTCTCTAATTTTTATTTATTGTTTTGCCTCTTATTCTCTATTCTTTACATTTTAGCACCACATTATTATCTACTCTCTGTCAGTTTGCCAATAATTCTACCGTCTGTAAACCCCATCTAGACCCTAATTCATAAGAACTCATCAGATGTGGGAAAGATATATTTCAATTGTTTTTGATAAACTTAACTAAGATTGGTTGAAATTAAACATATTTAAAAGTAAAATAAAGTATGAAATTGTAGACGAAATATAATGTAATGTGCCCTTGAGCTAATGAAATAACAACTCACAATTATATAACTTAATAAACAGGATATAACTAACACAAGTACATTGTAAGATGATTGAATGTAATTATGTGAAAAGTAATACAATGGGAAAATAACTTATGTCAGCGGAAGACACTGTTGTAGTGATTGAATGATAATAAAACCCTTTCAAAATACGTACGTAAAAAGTAATGTACAGTACTCAAAGAGGTTTTTGTTAAGTCTGTCAATTCAATAATGTTGATTGATTAATTGAGGTTGATTATTGGTTTTTAACACCACTTTCGACACTCTATAGGCTATATCATCGTGGTCTGTTTTTATTAGAAGAGAAAGAAGGGTTGGTCTGAGAGATCCATTAACCATCGACATGAAAATTGGCAATCCTAGTCAATTCAGATCGCACTTGCCGCGAACGGGGTTCGAACTCACCACCTGAGAGTTCATAAGCTAGTAGATAGTAGATAAACTACCCCTCGACCAGCATGACCCTTCGATACTTTTATAGTGATGGCATATTTTTATAGACTGTGTCAAATTTACTGCTAGCGGAGTGGCTGCTAGCGAGTGACTGCTAGCTTGAGCCTAACCAAATTTAAACGATGTATAATGACTGCAAAATGAATGATTAAACAGTGATAGAATCCTTAATCATTTAAAACATATTTTTTGTATAATGATTTAAAAAGTAATAGATACAAACATTTACAAATATTTTCTTGAACGTTTTGGTATTATGTGTTAGATCAAATGAATTAAACTTATTCAATTATTTGAGCAGTTTAAAAATACCATATGAAAACATAAATCAAAATAAATCGTTAAAACACAATAAAATACATACCTAGCGAATTAAACAGGATAGCAAAAGCAGGAAGATATACAAAATGATGTGTCAAAGCTTTTGGAGAAGGAAATATAGATTTCAAATTACATTTTTACAAAGTCCAAATGACAAGTACTTATATCCTACATTATTTCCGTGTCATTTGTAAATTAATATATATGATGTACATGTATGCATGTTGAAAGTACGTTTATATATAAAAGTTGTTTCAGAAATGAGGACATCCTTTGCTTGTTTATGAGAAAAAAATATGGATGTTTAACGTCTAGTGGCAAATATTACAACAATACTTATAATATAAGGCTGATATGGATGTAATATACATTGTATATATATATTTACATAGTTACAATGTATATGAATTCTATTTTGTACAATTTACTAGATCGACATACTGATGCGGAATTTTATCTGCAAGTTCAAGACGACATGTCACAATTCTAGGTCGTTATTCAGACGCCGAACCGACCAGTGTTCATTTCAACTCCTAAATGCGTCGTGTTTAGCTAAGAAGCAGCAAATACATATATTCAAGTCTTTGTTTTTCATCGTTTAAATATATTTCATTTGCTATTACGTACACACAAAATAGGATAGGATACAAGTTATCATAACTTAGAAAGCATGCAACAACAACATTAAATAGTTATAAATGTGTATGTCCCTCCTCCATAGATCTCATTCCTTGTCCGAATTTGGCCTTACCTTTTTGATTTTATCAGCTCTTCATCGTTTTAATTAAGTTTTTGATTTCAAATATTTTGGCCTAAAGCATCACTGAAGCAACATTATTTTATCGAAATGCACATCTGGTGCAACGAAATTGGTACCGTTATCCTTATTGTACAATAAAGCTACAAAAAAAGTACAAAATCTCCCACAATACACGTCACCATTATATTCCTCAACATACTTTATATGATTATTATATAAAAAGAAGAAAGAAATATATCTAATGGTTACAACGTTCACTTTTTACGAGAAAAAAAAGATACACGTAGTAGCTGTTTTCAGTCATACTTCCGCACTGACAGCTTTGGTAATTTATTATATAGAATATAAAAAGGTCATAATTGAGAGTTGAATATGGATATCAAAGACTTGTGAATATAATAATTAGCTTACTTTCTCCAACATAATAGTGCTGATGGGCTTTGGATTGATGGGATTACTTTTGAAGAAAATATTTAAATTTGGAGATGGAATGTGGTTCTAATTGTTTTATCTACTTCATAACATTGCCATATTGTTTTCGGAAAATAGATTTTTTTTTGTAAATTCAAACCTATTACAAAATGGTAGTATGATTCAGTGTTGTTCCGCAGATTATATCTATAAATAGTTACAGGTGGTAGTGTATGTGTTCGTAGTTAAATGGGAGTCTTTCCATGATAAATACATGTACATGTTTTGTAAAAACTGAAGTTTTCTTAGATATCTTCTATCAGACAAAGGTTCCCTTGCCGTTTCAGAATATAAGATTACACTGTTGTAATAATAAAGCAGGCTTGAAACTTCGTACAGAGATACAATACTAAATCAGCTTCGTACAGAGATACAAAACTATATCAGCTTTGGCGTCTGATAAAACCTTATTTGTAAATCACTGATGTTCTTTGCTTTGTTTGTTAAATGAATCATGTCTGGTTTTTTTTAGTTGAAGACATTACCAATTTTTTTGCCATTTATTAAATTTGAGTTAAGTAATTCTAAATATGTTTTTGCATTACACGTACGTCAGTGTTTACTAAAAATATAAAGTATTTTGTAATTGGAAAAAAAAAAACACACTAAAAAATAGTTTCAAGCGATGACATGAATACGAAAAGATAATTAAACTAATCATAGGTTTCAGATACTTGCAGTTACGAGACTTTAGAGTAACTTCTTAACAAACGAACCGAAAAAAACCAAACCAAAACAAACCAAGTGATTAAAATATCAGCGCTTTTATTGCTGTTCTGCATCTAACAACATCAGCTTCAAGACATCATGAGACTCCCAGCAGCACAATTTATATACTTGTGTACATATTTTACCGATGTTGAGTTTTCTTTGTTTTAGATGTTGAAACAATTATTGTTTTTGAAATGGCGACCGTTGATTTGAATTTCCATAAATTATAAATTATCGATCTTCATTTCAATCTTTGTCTGTGTATAGAACACAGTAAATTACATACAAAAATAGAGTAATCGATACTTAACCGTATCAAAACATTTCTGCAGTTACTGCAGTAAGTTCAAAGCACTGAACCTGTTTATAAGATATCATGCATTGAAATTAAGCTGTTCAAAATATAATGAACACCATTGCTGGTCAACAATACGCTTAAAACACTTGAACCTCAAACCAGTCGGGATTTGCCAAAAAAAGAATATGATTTACTTCCCTTTGAACGTAGATCATACTTTAGATGACTTCGTCCTAACCTGAATACCCCTGAACACATTTCTCACTACAAATTAAGCGACGTGAAATGAATGAATATCAATAAGACCTCTCGGAATGAACGGTTAGGGCTATACTATGAATTTTGATATAACTGTTTTGTGGTGAGTTGATTGAGATAGATAAATACATTGCTCTCTTGGGATTACAAACTTCCAGTCCTTCATTTCGGTAAACTCATAAAAGTCATTTTTGTATCTTCGGGAATACTAGATTTGAAGTTACGCAAGAGAATTTTGGAAATGCCAACATTTTATGAGCGAATGGTCAGTTCAAGAGGGACGTATTCGTTGTCACTATTGGATGTAGTTCTCATAGTGCTTGTCATGAAAGTATAATATACTGATACATTCCATATATTTTTCGACTGCTTTATAATTGTATACTTGACATGTAAAAATCATGTCACCTAAAATAAATGTTTGAGTTATTGTATAAAAACCAGAAATTACATGTATTCAGGGCGACAATTTGTTTATGTGGATTAACTGTGAACCATAATTTGTATTAGAACGAAACGTTTGACTACACCACAAGGTAATATTCCACATGTAGACATGTCACTCCACTAATATAAAATTATAGTTATTGGTATTTCAACACCGAGCCTTTGATCTAAGTGTGTTCGGCTGAGCGGGTCTTGCTTTCTGTATTCTTTAATTTTTGGCCACTTTTCTCTATATTCCCCCATTTTTCGCTATTCTGTAAACATTATTTTGAACCTTCACCAAATTAATATCTATTTAAAATTTTTGGTTGGAACCTGCTTGGGGTTTAACCAAGAAGCAGCATATAAATAGTATAGACTTGAATACTTCTCAAGATGTTATTATACATGGCCAAATATCAACAAACTGCAGTTATTACTACCATATCAAACAAACATGTGTTTTACCTGAAATTTGGAAACAACTATCATATTACCATAGTTATATATATTATATTTTTAAATAAAAAAAATGTTCTCTGCTATTTTATATAACTATATATCATTATAGTATTAATCAATGGGTGTTTTCATAAGGGCCCTATTATATGTCCAAGGTCTGTTTCTGTTATAATGGTCGGGGATGCCTGTAATAGCACGAGACAATGCCGAGTGACATTACAGCCTGTGAGGCCATTGTTACTGACCGAGGACAAATGAAAGAGGCAATCTGAAAACACCCATTTCTTAACACTCTTATTAACCAAAACGTCAATGTGTAAAATTTACCAAGCCAAATCAGTTGTTTGTGGAAAAAATGTATAAAACAGTTATATCTAATTATACCAAATGCAATATTAATAAGAAACTTTTAAAGTCATGTGATGGAATAACATGTAAATGAAAATGAAATGTTATTGTTGTCCCATTCAAAGCAATTTATGGCATACAAAACACAAGATTTCATTCTTGATTTTAAAACTCAAAATTGAATAAATTGATACACATCATGGAATGTATTATGTAATTATCAACTTGACAACTGGGTCAAATAAGATGAGTCATGATTTTTCGGAACTTTCAATTTCTTGATGTTTCTTTTCCCCAGAAATATATTTGAATTAATAGCAACTGGGAATCCGTAATAGCCCTGATTATTCATAATGGCCCTATTTTTTTCATAATGGCCCTGTTTTTTTCATAAGGCCCTGTTTATTCATAATAGCCATGTTGATTCGTAATGGCCCTGTATTAATGCCCTGTTATTCTGTAATGGACCAGTTCTACTTTTATTAATAAAGGGGCAGTTTCAAACATAATGTACAAAACTGGTTAATGACATATTATAGCAAATGTCATGTTGCGTACACATGACAATGTTTTAATTCAAATATACTATATTTGTCCTGTTGAACTGATTTTAGATAAAGCTAATACTAACAATAAACACTGCCCATTCCTGGATTTTGATATTTATATTTTTAATGGGAGGCTTAATACTAACATTTACGATAAAAGAGATGTATTTTCATTTCCTATTGTTAATTGTCCTTTTTTAGATGGTGACGTTCTATTGGCACCATCTTATGGTGTTGATATATATCTCAACTTGTTGTTAAAAATATAAATCAACGTGCAGACAATTTATACGTTCAGGTATTTCACATCATATATTTTATGGTAATAAAGCACAACAATGTCGTCATTCGCTTCAATAATTAATTTTAATTTACTCATAGGGTCTTTGCATCTGAAATAAACATATGTATTCTAAAACCAGTTGTTGGCATGATACGGGTTATGTTCTTCTCGTATAATTTATGATGGCATGATACTAAACCACTGACGTGCTTGATTTTCATATGATGAAGGCATGATCTTTCAATCAGTTTAATTGAGGTCTGGAGCTTGCATGTCAATAACTGCTGATAATCCTTTGTTAATTTATGTTGATAATTGTCATTTTGTTTTGTTTCTTCTGTTACCTATTTGAACTCTTTGGGAGGTCCGTAGGTAGCCTGTTGCAAAGCTTAATTTCTGTCCTTATCCAATACACCCTCATTTTCCAGGTGCAGTCCAAATTTCCCCGACCATCCCGGACGGCCTTTATTACAGAACCTAACTATTGTATTTATTGTTAATTTGTTCTCGTCCTGAACATGCATGAAATATTTGCCACTGGACGTTAAACAATCAACAATCA